ATTATTCATACTTATATACTTTTGTTGCTATAATTTTATCTTTTACTTGTACTTCTACAGACGGGCAATCAAACAAAACCATCGTAGTCTAACGTCTACGTGACTGACATAGCCAGCGGACAGGTGGATGGTCGCTCCAAGCGTAATCCGTTCTTCAGCGCTTTTACGAAATCGGCAACAGTACGCTTCTGTGCAGAGCTAGCATCAGCATAGGGATCAGCGCCTAAGCTGAATATCTCCCATAATACCACACCAAAGGACCATATATCAGATTTCTGAGAGAAAAGCTTTTCCTCGATGGCTTCCGGTGGCATCCAACGCACGGGGAGATGTTCCTGCAAAGACGGACTCGTCGTCGACTGTAACTCAATGAATGTACGAGTATCGCAAAGTTGCAAACGATCATCGTCTTAATAGATTGTAGTCGGTAAGGGTACGCTGTGATGGCGTGCAAGAGCCTATCGTATATCGTACCGTCTATCGTAAGCCTTTTTTTGCGTGCGACTACAATCTAATGACGTAGGTTTCGCTATAACCGTACCTGAAGATCATGCAGAACGTACACAGTCCCCGGCTTTGCCATTCCGAAATGGGAAATTTTCGCAATTCCTCCCGAGAACAGCAGAATATTGCGCGCGGCCAGATCTCGATGGAGGACAGCCTGACTGTGCAAATACTCCATACCGCGGCTGATTTGATAGGAAAAGCGCAGCAGCGTGAGCGTCGACGGCGCTGTTAAGTCTCAGTTGTTGACTTCCGTGTTGGGGGTGGGAGTTTCTGTGTCGGTTGGTTCTCTGATGACCTCGATATTGTTCATGTCAGGCTGGCATGCAATGGCCCCGTTGCAGTCGACCTGGTTGACAAAGTTCGTTCGGCAAGTGCTTCGTAGAAAATTGGTGAGAGTCCCGAATTCGGCGCACTCCAGCAACAGCAGCACCTCATCTTTAAGACATTGCTTGTATAATTATTCATTCGGTAAACTACGGCACAGATCATACCAGTGATAACAACCCCAAGTAGATTGACAATGTTAAGATGGCGTCCAGTTCTAGCCAGCATATCGAGTTCCTGGATGAGTTGACGAAGTTGTGATACATTGTTTGATAACCGGACACTCTTTACTGCGATTTTTCTCTGGTCTTGACCTTGTGGTTGTGAGTAGAGACCGTACGCAAATCCCGCTTTGACAACACTATTAGGACTGGTATCCAAAACCAGCTCCGCTAAAATGCAATACAAACATGTGAAAATCGGTAATGCTTTTTTATTGCATAAAGTTAATTTCGTATGGTCTATCCCGATTTACTGGCGCTCTTTTTCAACTCTTCAACATCCGAGGTTAAAGCGCAGAATTATGTATGCCAGTGTCTGGACGGTAATTTTTAAACGTGACGCTTAGCATGACGGTAAGTTGACCCACGGCTGCATGTTTATTGCCAACTGATTTACTTTCTTTAGTTTCTTCGCAACGCGAATCTCAGACATTCTGTGCTACCACGATCAACCAAAAATTTTTCACGTACTCAATTGCAACTGGCTCATGGGAATCGCTAAGCGACGGGCACAGGGATCGGCCGCCAAGTCTTTAATGAGGAGCCCAGAGTCGAACGGCGAGAAGTCGTAAACGCTGTGTTGCGCTGAGAAACTGATGTCTCCGCTTAAAATCGGAGCCTTCCCTCTAACGCGTTTTCGGTATCGTCGATATAAGAGTATTGCAGTAACTACTGCAGTCGTCAGTACTGCAACGGAAACGGCGATTCCTAGTGCTGTTGGCAATATAGAGGCTGAAAACAATTTGAGCATGGCATCAATCAAACTGGTATGTCTACACAGCGTCGTAATAGCGTAACATTATCCGCTCTGGACCGCTCATGATTATTAAAACTAATGTCGAAGAAGATTGACTACCGGCACCGCAAAGCAACCTCAAAACCAGAACTCATACTCGGAACCTTGGTTTTCGTACCGGCATGTAACTCTCGCAGTCTTTTTCGGGATTGCTTCACAACGATATAGTCGACGAGAAATGCCTCCGATAACGATGCGTCTCTATCGAGGGCTCTCACAAATCCTGTAAGTGGTGACATCCAAAATTCTATGGCCATTTTGGGCCATCGTTCCAGTCCAGGTACAGTCAAATTGAGCGCCCACTCCTCATCCACATACCACACTAAATCTTCACTTGTCCACCTTAGCATATGCGTATGGTAATCGAGGGAAAGCTCTTCTGCACTGCAATATCACCTCTGTTGGGTAAGCCACGTAAGTAATCGGTGTCCCATTCCAAGCTTTAGCGCGGACCAGAAACAAAAAAAGCCGCAATGTCTTAAAACGAGCGTTCACCTTTATTTAAAACAATTCTTTTGAACTAAAACATCTCTGCACAACACCCTCCCAAAAACAAGGTTGTCGTTCCAGCATTAACAGATGTTTGTTCGGTATTTTGAACGCCTTAATTAATCTTGTCTACTGGCTCACCTATCAAAGGCTGGCTCGTGAAATGCCGTCTTTCCCCCACTGTCCACGTACTCCACTTCACCTTTGAAGAGAGTTTTATGATACGCGCATCGGCTGGCTGACACTGATACCCATGGTACCGGATGGTACCGGCAGCCCCAGCCTTCGCTGTTGAATATGCAGGGCCGCAGAACCATGCTGGCTTTGATTCCCGGGGTCTCTGGAAACTTCGCTCGAATGACGACATCGCCGTACTTGAAGAGAAACTGGAGTCCTGTCATGATAGATTGTTCCCCGAACACCAAGGATGAGCCGTTACGAACCACGCCTCGCCGCAGCACCAGTTGTCCGTCGCGTAATCGAATGTTTTGACGGTCGGCAGGTGGCGGAGGCATACCAGCTGTACAACGCGAAGAAACATTCCGGGACTCTTCGTTCGTGCTCTTCTGTAATCTTTTTACAGTAAAATCAAAAATGGGTTTTTATTGGCTCGTACAACCGAGATATCGAGAACACAATATAGGAAATAAAGGCATTTACGCATCCGAACAATTTATAAATTAACCGCCGTTTTCGGTTAGATGCCAAACGTTTTCTAGGTGCCGATAAACGCTTTCCTGGATAGCTGCAATATTCTTAATACCACGACACCTGGTGGGGGACGTTCCACTTCCATGTCATGAACCAACCACTTCAAGTCCAGCACGTTACCGTTGAAATCGTCGCGGAAAATTTCCACCATTTCATTGTCGTCGTCCGTAAGAACACAGGCAGCGTGGGGATTGCAGGACAGAAATACAGCCATTGTGAACAGGTTTAACATAAGGCGCTGAACCATGGTTGTTGTGTTGAGATAACAGTTGCTGGTGTGGTGGTGTGCGCTTGCGCTTTTCTCTGGCGAATATCCTTCAAAATAAAAAGCATTAAAAAGTACGCAAGCCACTATCTAGCGCTCTTCGTTCTTTGTATTATTCTGTGTACTAATACCAGCGTATAATGATAGAAATTTGAAGTACCGGATTCTGTAAGTTGTTCGCTGATGTTTGGTTTTAACAAACGACCAAATATGTTTTGACAAACAATAGAAAATAGCTCTGTCACTTGGTTTGAGAGTTGCATTATACGAGCAGATCATGAGTTACAAAGGCATGTAACTTGTAAACCACTGTAAAAGAATCCATTGTCGAAAGCAATCATACCATTGCCAACGGCTAATCAATAATTCACTGTTTATCATTTATCTGAAAAAGCACAACAGTCCAAAAGGCGCCTTTAGCTGTTATAAAATTTGAGTTGTTTTTCGATAACTCCATGTTTTCTTAGCGTGAAAGTTTTTTTGCTGAGTAATAAAACGAAGTTCATAACACGAACCCTTTAATGTTACTGAGTCGCATCATCGGCTGTACTGTTTTTGCCCGTTGAAGACTTGAAGCTAAACTTCAATGAAGTTCAGATAGTAACGTAAACCCGGCTGTACTACGGCGGTTATACACTTTTTGGCCACTTTATATGGCATATAGCACTCTGATGGTATGGTAACGCCCGATTCGCTTGGCTGGTTTGTGGACGATCAAATAGCGTTAAATCAAACGGTCGAGGGAATGTCAACATGGCAACGATTGCAGCTTACGATCAGGATGTTCTCCAAAGCGTATTTCAGCACACCAGATTTTCCGTACAATGCCACGGTTGCACCAAAACAAGAATTACACATTGACTACATAGCGGTCCGGCAATTCACCAGTGAAGCACTACTTGGTGGGCTGATACCAACTGCTAACACGTCATCACATTACACAAACGACTAGCGAGTGGCAAATCTAATTTTTTTTATAGGGTACGGGTTGCCAGTAATGTTAGGCACCATCATTCCAACTGCAGTTATCGCGAGCATCGCTGCCATAGTCTGGTGTGTCGTGAAACGACGGCGAGTGCAATACGGAGATATGCAAAAGAAAAGTTTCAGCTACGGTATGCGCTTGATGTTCGAAGGCATACGAAACTGGCTTCCTTTCGATGAGGCTACAGGCATCCCATATGTGCACTGGGAGAATGCAGAACACGTCCGTCTGTGGGAGATTCCTTTGACTAAAGTTCATCGCAGTAAGAGAAACTAGTGTAAAACTAATAGATCATCGCAGTAACAGTAGCTGTTTTGCTGGGTTGCTGTAGCGCGCCCTTCTTAACTTGCTCTGCGTACCGGCGACCGTCTAATTGTCGCCAGGCTATAATATTATATATTGAAGCCACCGAATCTGACACGAGTAGTAAAGCATAAAACGCGCAACATTTTGCCAGAGACCGGAGTAAACGTCCTGAAACGTTTAATTAATGCACTTGGTTAATTAACAAAATATATTGTAGCAGGGGAAATTTTATGGTCTAGCGAAGCGAGTGATTCGGAAAAGGGGTTTGCTGAAGGGATTTTTGGTCGACCTGATATGACAGCTGCGATAATGAAAAGTCCGAAAACCAAAAGCGATGCCAGTCAATTGCGTTTGCTAACCGATGAAATGAAGATCATGGCAAACATAGGCCAACACATGAATATCGTCAGTCTTCTTGGTTTGGTTGTCCAAGGTGCGGTGGTTTACGTTCTTAAAGCCATTTTTACGCTGATTTACCCTTCTGCCTGGTTCTTACTGACGCTCTTTAGGCGAGGTGCTTCTACTGTACGAATACGCTGAACTTGGACGCCTGTCGAATTATTTACAAACGCACCGCGAAGAATGGTTTTTGAACCAGGTGGATTCAACTGGCAGGCTACTACCTCTTAACGAGGATGTAATGGAGCGTTACCGGCAAGCTGCTGACCGACGACACCCCCCGAGTGACGATTCAGTGGATTTCGACTGGCAAATTCTGTCCGCCCGGACGCTGATTCGGTTTGGTCATCATGTTTCTAGAGGAGTGCAGTATCTCCACAGTTGTTCGATTGTCCATCGGGATCTATGGGCAGCGAACGTGCTAGTTTTTGACGGACTGGTTGCCAAAATCTCCGAATTCGGAGTGGCCAAACAAGGAGCGGAGTACGTCGGGCAGGATGAACAGGTACGAGACACCAGGTAAACGGTAAGCACAATAGTCGCTAATCAGAACAACGTCGTTCCCGCATAATTCGTGCTTATAAATAAATTATTTTAAGGAGAAAAACTTTCGTTTCCGCTGGATGGCACCAGAGTCCATCAACGATAGACGGTTCTCTGCCGCATCCGACATTTGGTCACTGGGCGTCGTTCTATGGGAAATATTCAGTATTGGTAGTCTTCCATACGCCATTGAGCATTCCGTGACATGTGATGCGGCAACGCTAACTGCATCGCTAAAAGCTGGACTGCGCCTGCAAAGATCGGAGACCTGCCCCAGTGTCGCGTAGGTGATGTGCATCGTACGACCTTTTACCATCAACTATCGACAAGTTTCTTGCAGGTATAGTTTGATTATGGACTGTTGGTCGTGGATTCCCGAAGAGCGCGCTGATGCTGCTCGCTTAGAGCAGGTGCTGCGTTGGCTTAATGACAATATCAGGGAAGAGAACTACCTTCCTCTTGATTACTGGTATGCCCTGTTGGACGGCTCGCAAGCTGATGTTCCAATGGATGAGAACGACAACATATCTTCGCCTTAATACCGTCAAATATTAATGTTTTTTTCACCACTGCCGCTTTGGGACAGTTTGAGCTATTAATCAATACGCCACTCAACTTGTTTTACTCTAAGCGAATCATTTTTTTCTGAACGCATTGTCTAACACCACTGAATAAGACATGTCTCACACCATGTTAGACATGATGTATGTCTAACACCATTGAATAAGACATGCAACCAAGGGACCTTCCGTAAATCGCGTGAACCAAGGGGTAACAGGAAGATGAAAAATGAAAACAAAAATGTTATAAATAAAGTAACAGCCCCTTATTGGGTTTACCAAGGGGATGGTTCCAATTTTTCGACAAACCTGCGTACGCAGTTTGTACTCGTAACTCGTAAGTGGTCTCCAAAGATGTACTTTAATATCATCTGTAAGTAATCGGTGTGTATGTGCTGCGTTTATTTTGTCCTACGGTTTTGTCCCCTTTGGCCGAACTGAGAATATTTCGATGTATCCCAAAGGCGGATCAATTCGAGCACTCGTACGTACTTAGACAGCATAGTTTCCTGCTGCCGACATCTACTGCATCGTGCACCGTTGTTTGGGCGTGCGTATTATGCGTTGTACCAATAAAATGATATGTGAAAGAGAGGAAACACAGCTTTTATCGACTTGTTCTGTTTTCGGTATACATCAACCACGAGGTATCTGAAGTCCGGAGGTACAAAGTAGGTTTGGTTAAAAATCTTAAATACTTCGGTTAACGGATCATAAAAAATACACAAAAAAACAGGCCAGGCGGCCATCAGTCCAGACGATGATAAACCTGGGCACCGGAAGTTTCAAGAATATTTCGCATTTCGTGGGATAGCTGTGCGAAAACTGGCCGATCATCGGGCAACAACTTCCAGCAGTCACACATGAAATTAAACCTACAATTCAACCATGGACGATTTTCAAAATTTAACCCATAATATCGACCGTCACAAGTAAGGATTCTAGACGCGCTCTACGCCAATTAAAGAATTATATCGTTGCTAACATCGGTCGGCAAGGATCCTACAGAGGGTTATTCAGCCAAGTGTGGCACTTCGAAAAAAAAAATCCTTGTAAATTTCATTTTAACAAAAATGATGCCATAAGCATTTCAATACAACGACTAACTAGTCTGAATGGTTTTTGCAAATTCTGGTGACAATCAAACGTAAAATGCTCGCCATAATATCTATTGACCAAAAGACTCCTTGACCAGTCAAAATTTGGCTTTTCATCATCAGGCTTTAAAAGGATCGTCTGTTTTTCAAATCTGCATGGTTTAAATTGTGAAAAATGGCGATCCAAATGTTTTTTATGGCAAGAACGATGCCATATTTTTGCGCGTTCTTGTGGTAGGACGGTTGGAAAATATGCAAAAACAGGAAGAGACCCGGAGGAGCCATGCCCATTGCGCGAATTCTTATGCACGAAACTATAGCTATCCTTTCCGTCCCATCATAAACTAAAGTTGTAGAGCAAGTCTTTCTCTACCATTTACAATGTTCGTTGGTCGAAAAAGACGCTCCACGGATCAAGCCTGGCAGGGAAGAAGAAGTCATCTAGAAACAGAGATGTGCTCCGGGAGCACTGCGGGGAAAACAAGGATGCTGCTTGTCAATAAAAAAAACTAGTAATTCCTTCTGAAAAAGGATTGTATAACGCGGGGCCGTATGGGCGCCACGCGTATCCTCGACAGCGAACAGCGGTGAACCCGGATGAGGCTTTATTGCCGAATCTAATGCGCACCGTGGCGCAGCAACACCAGACTAATGAGGAAGGATCCTGCAGCCAGTGCAACTGTGCTGCAGGTCCGTCAAAACAGCGCAGCAATGTGCGGGGTGGAAATCCCCAGAAACAGCGAATAGCTACTCAGGAGGGCGGGGCGTCCCGCCCTTACAATTGTTTGAAACCCCTGACAGGTGTTCAATGGATTATGGCGAAAACCCAAATTTTAAATTAATTTTGAATAGAGGGAATCCATTTCCTATAGCTGAACTGGTCAACTGTTGCCACCATGGTGGGGACAAACTTATTTTTTTCCTGAGCTACAGGATGACAAAATCTTGGCTCGGTTGAATTTAAAGTATGATTGGACGTTGTGGCTACCTGATGAGATTATAAAAAAGTAAAATGTGCCTGCGACGGCCAAGCAGAAATTTTCCAAAAAGTGTCCACACTTGGCTGAATAACCCTCTGTAGACGCGCTCTACGCCAATTAAAGAATTATTTTGTTGATCACATCGGTCGGCTTATTCTTTCTGATACCGAGGTATGTGCAGGTAGAAATGCGACTATCACGAGCAAGTTACCGACAAAACTTACACGACAGTTGGACAGTGCTCCGGCTTGTCCAGACGCAATCCGCTTTTTAGTGACGCTAGAAAAGTGGCGATATTGTCCTGCGCAATGCGATCGTCAGTAAACGGCAGCGCTCCAACACTAAACACTTCCCACATAACAACACCGAAGGACCACACATCCGATTTCTCTGAGAATATTTTTTTAGCCATGGCTTCCGGTGGCATCCAGCGCACTGGAAAAGCTTCCTGCAAGGTTAAATAAAATCGAATATGTTTTATGTGATAAAAATTAAATATACAGCCCTTTGACATTTTAATTCTTTTATTACAAAATATACATATTACTTTTTTTTTATTTTGTTTAAGTGGTTGACTTTATGCAGTTGAAAACTCGAGGCAAAAATCCACCGATGCCGTTTTTGATGTAAACAAACATTTATTAAGATAGGTATATAGAATGTATTTTATGAATTTGAGGATAAATGTACAATTTGGTAGAGCGTGACAGATGCTTTCTGAACTTCCGGTCAGTTCTGACCGGAACGTTCCTGATTTGTTGAGATTCTGTGGACCTATTATGAAATTACTAAAGTAAAAAAATATTAGCCACAGATGCAGGATCACAAGCAGATAAAAAAATTATCTGTAGACACTTCTCTCAATATTTGTATTTTCGGTTCGGTCTTTCAGTGCTAGCGAACAGCCGTGCAGTTTCCTAGTAATATTATACTGTATTTGTTCGTATTACGTACGTGCTGGTAATGCGAATTCCAAATTCCAGCCTAGAGTGCAAAACTATGCCTGGTGCTAAAACAGTTTCGTACTTTTAATTCCGGAAAGCGATCGCGATTTTCTTGCCGTGCTATGCCGAAGTCCGATATCTTCGCCGTGAATCCATCGCAAATCAGATCATTTCGCGCGGCTAAATCGCGGTGCACAATGCCCAGAGTACTGAGATGTTCCATTCCTCGACTGATCTGATAAGAAAACTGCAGCAGCATAGTGGTTGACAAGATTTGTCCATTCAGTTCATCTAAGTCCGCTCGAGATATCGTTCCATCGGCGGAGCAAACGGCACGTTCCGCTTCTTCTTCGTCATAAGGGAGGTATGGCGTTACGGCTGACATGATGGTAAATGCCGGCACGGTAAGTTTTCAAGAAATCCCGAAGGCTACCAAATCGGGCATATTCCAGTACAAGAAGCACTTCACCTGCAGTGATTCCATAAAGTTCGATGTATCATAGATTCTTCCGAATCATAAACGACACTGAACAGTCAACAGACCGCGTTACCGATCATAACCACACCCAACAGGTCGATGATGTTAGGATGCTGACCAACCGCTAGCATAACTTCTATTTCCTGCATTAACTGTCGCGTCTCAGTGGAAGCGCTACGGTCCCTGGCGCTCTTTACGGCGGCACTGGTCTGGTCTTGACCGAGAAGGTCCTGGGCCACCCCTTTTCTCACGATGCTAGTCGTGCCGCGTCCAAGAATAATGTTGGCTGCAGCGGAAAACACAACGATGTGATACTGAATCATGCTCATCAAGAAGACCGATATAATAATTATACGTAGTATTGGCAGACATACATTTGTGCGCATGCTGTCATGGTGGATACTTAGATAGAAGGACAAAAAAGTGAGACCCTTGTAGTCGGCCGCAGTTTAACAATTTCATAATAACTAGCAGTGTGGACTAGGAGCACATCCAGTAGGCATGCATCCGCAGCACCTTAATTCGAATAAATGTGCTTGTTCGCGCAAATGTGCGACTTACAAATATGCAGATTGGTCAGCGGGATTTCCAGCGCTCGAACATGGTCATTCTCCACTAAATGGACGACGTCGGTGTTAAGATCCGGTGGTGGTGCAGAGTCGCTGGCCGTTGCGCCAGTGGTCTGCATTTTGCTCATTTGCCGAGCGCCAAACAGACGATTCCGTCGTCTACGCCGTATTAGAAAATAAGCCAAAGCCGCCAAAACTGTTACCACTAATGGAAGAACAGTTGCCAATACTGGCTGCAGTTTGTCTGTAAAGCCAACCAATAAATTTTCTGTTTACGATCCTCAGTGCTGCCTTACTTTTGCCTGCTTGACTACTGAAAAGTTGGCGAATCACCACATAATCGATCAAGAATTCGTCCGACATTTGATAATGCGATGAATTCCAGTTTGGACGTTTATAGAGAAAATTATAATTGTAGTCGTCTTCATCCTTTTGAGTGAATTCCCGATAATCAGGCGCAACCCTTATTCTTACGCGCATTTCCGGCAAGGTAGTGTGTTCGGGAACGGTGAAGTTGAATAGGCGATTGCCATCCATGTACCACTCCAGGGCTTCCGGCGTCCAGCTAAGACGATGAACGTGGTAGTCCAGTGCCAAGTCCGCATCGCTGCAATTTGCATTCTTCGACGATGCAATTGATAATTTTTTAATTCGTAACTTATTAATCTCTATTTATTCTTGATAACTTATTAATTTATTATTAATCTGGTGTACAAGCTTATGTACAAGGTTATTTATAAACAATAATTATCACCTAATTAATTTTAAAACGTTCTTGTCATCATTAAAGCGTTCTTGCCAGATTTCCCTGTCTTTTAGTGTCCGGTGCGCGAATCTATATCGTTAAAGGTTCGGAATGCGAAAACCGTCGAAGAAGACTTTGCGATTTTGCATAACACCCCTATAAATCAAAGGTCACCTGTCAAACAGCTTGCTCCCGCCGATACGCTGACCGGATGCTGAAATGTAGTCTAAGTAACCCCGCAACCGATAGCAGGTCGATGGGTATGTCGAGAAATGAACCCATAGTTGAGGTCTGGGGATGGTCGAGAGCGACTCCTCCTCGCTGACGGGGGACAAGGACACAAAGGACAACGTGTATCTCCGTGGGTCGTTTTTGGACTGGCAGCTGGGGTACTTTAGCCGTATGATCATCTCGCCGTACTTGAAAGTGAAGTTCCTCGTTGCTAACGCAAAATGGTTACCATACTGTTCGCCTAACGGCTTCATTGTCAGTAAACCTTAACGGGCGAACAGGGTCCTGTTATCATAATATACAGGGTAGTAGGAGTAAGCTTCTTCCTCTGTCCACCTTTCCCAGTTGATGGTCTCAAAATCATCCCGAAAAACATCTTCCATGTGTTCTTGACACCAGACGTGCACCAAATAAATGTACAAACCAAGATGAAAGCTCATAACAGTTGTTGATACCGATAGTTTCAAGATCATTTTTTTTGCATTTACAGAAAGTTACGTTTGGTAGCGTGGTCAGCGTCTAATGCCCTCACTGTAGAACGCCGATACAACACCTAAACTGGAAAGCTCATACGTATCCATCAGAAACTGCGGCTTTTATGCGTGGTGTAGTTCAAAAAGCAAAGTCGACTCAAAAAGATGTAGGCATACTACACATAATTAAATATACCCCGAGGGTAACAAATGCGGCGTAAATATTTGTGGTAGATGAGTAATAGCCGCCCGATCGTATTACTGTCAGACAGCCAGCAATAAAACGTATTATCCAGTAACATAACAAAAGTTTTTGTAGTGTATGTAAAGATAGTACTGTACATATCTGCAGGAATCTTCTCACACTATACTGAAACCATGAAATACTGTAACTGGTGGATTAGAAAATGCATGAACAAAGAGAGGTGTGTAGTTGAGAAGCGGTTTTTGTGCGACAGATATCTCGGCAGCATATAACGCGTCATATGGCGCGGCTGGCGTTCAGTTATCAAATCTGCCGAGCGGTTCTGCTAACCGAACGCCATGACCATTCTCGCTGCGTATTACGTTTTTTGTTGTGTGACTTAGGGTTATCAAATTGTTGAACCGCCAATTACAAATGACCAGATGACGAGCGGGTATGCAGTGTTGAGATATAAGTGAGATACTTGTACGGTTGTACCACACAGAACATCCGAAAATGAAATATTTTTATATGGGTACCAACTGGTGGTCAAAGCTGTCTGTTTGGTTAAAACCGAGAAGTGAAAGGAAGCACATAGTTTCCGTACTAACAACTGTGCTGTGTGCGACCATCTGCTTGGTTAGATACCCGATCATCTCGAGATAACTGACAAAATTAAAGATGTTGATTTTAATCAACCTTGGTTGGATACCGCGGCGCGTGATGAAACATGCTACATAAGTAACATAACCACAGTATTAATTAATTAAAACGACTCTGAATATGATATTGTAATCATTACTAACTAACAGTGCCAACCGCCAAGTTCATAATTATTTTGGGCGCCATCGTATGCAGAATTACGCTAGCAGGGTTTGTGGCACCGCGTGTTGTACGAAAACAGTGGACCCACACGCGCATTCCCGTAAGTCAATCTGTTTGTACTTCAGTATACCTCGAGGAACAGTCAACACTGGGTATCGAGGGCTTGTCGCCATTCCTGTTAACAGCTGCTGGCAGCCTGCTGCCAGGTAGATACCAGTAACCGCCCCTCGCCGCTGCCTTTGCTAGCTATTAAATGCAATTTGCGCTTGAGGACGTTGCGGAATCAAACTAATGAGCAGTTACAGTGTAAACAACGCCTCTCGTTCATAGGCGTTCATATTCTCCTCGATTTGAGATAACCGACCCGCGATTCCGTCCTCCAACACCAGACTACGTAGACGTGGTAAATCCGTGAACGTGTACGGTTCCAGCGTTTCTACATGGTGATCATGTAGAACATGATTATCCGCACTTGCGGCATGTGTGCAAAGTCGCGCTTCCGAATTACCGCATAATTTAAACAAAGCGGAAAAATCATAAAAAACAAAGTAGTCTAACCATGAGAGCTGGTAACTGTAATATCCGCATTCCGCAGTATACAACACAACATTGCTTAATGCCGCTTTCTTTCTGGATCTCCGTTTACCAGTTAGCGTTATCAACGGGCAAAATTACAGTGACGCTGCACTCTTCTGTGTCTATCCCGCGCAGCTTTTACTTAGACAAATTTCTTTTATTTTGGCCAAGAAAACCTTTCTGGTTAATGGAGCGCAAATGACGAAGACGGTAGCATTCAGAATGCAGTCGAGACTGCCAAATAACTGGCTGATCTCCATTAGCATTCGCGAATGCGGAAAGAAATTCCTGACACCCAAGGCGAATCCCCAGATGACCAGGCTGATCATAGAAGAGATACAGAAAACAGCGTTCTTGCCGGCGCTGAGTGGACGCGGTTTGCGACTGCCAGGGACATCTACAAAGAAAACCCCCTGTTACTACGTAGGTTTGCAACAGCGACTGTGCATTCGACATGGTAGCATGTTAATTAGCCGACCTACAGTTCGCTGGTCGGCAATTTGCTTTTCTGCTAAATTGTTGACCGACGTTTTACCGAAACGCTTTTGTTGACCGACAACTTGCTTTTTTGTTGGATACGTTGATTTGTGAGTTTTCTTAACTTCTTGTTGCTTTTTCGTTGGTTTCTTGGGGTTAGGTATCTTAGGTCTCTTAGTTTTCTTAGATTTCTTAAGTTTGCTGGGTTTCTCAGATCAGAAAAATGTCGTCAGCAAGTTGTTGGTGTTCACAAAACGTTATTCAGCGAGATCTCGGTCAGCGATTTGTCGCTTCAACAAACCGTCGGGTCGTCGTTCAGCAAAGTCGCCAGCAAATTGGCAGTTAGCAGGATGGCGGTCAGCGAATTGTCAGTGTGGCATTAGACAAAGCTAAGTAAGTTTAGGTGCCTTACCAAGAGAACCCGGTTTAACGCGTCTCTTTTTAACCTGCCGCATCACGATCACATAGGGCAACGCTCCAAACACAATAAACAAGCTGGCAATGGAGATATATCGAATGGCAGCGAGATACACGGGGTACACATGCACCGGCATGAAGCACACCTTGCCATTTTCGCCTACACGCTGGATAATGGTCAGAATGAAATGCGGCAGACGCGTTGCGCACACCACCACCAGCATGGCGATACATGCCACAATGGCTGCTCGCTGCGTGTGGCGCTGGCGGTAGGAGATGGGAAAGGTTACCGCCCAGATGCGGCTAAGTGCTAAGAGAATGTGTACGGAAGCGGCCAGCGCATCACCGATCCACAACCACAGAATCCGTGTGGCACACCAGGCCACGCTGGTTTCCACGGGATGCCCGGTGATCTGCATGTGGATGACCGTGGCGCTCCTCAGCGTGAACTTCGCTATATGACACAGCAGAATACTGATGAGGTAGACATTAAAGGCCTTTCGCAGCCGCTCACTGGACAGGTACACGCTAACGACGGCAACGAGATAGACGGTTTCCAGTGGAACCAGAACGGCGGCGAAATGATCGACCCACCCGATACTGGCGGCCGCATGAGCAGTTGTGATGTTGGAAATGTTGTTGGCCAGCAAATTAAGCATTTTGAACAACTGATAATATGCTGGTGTCTGTTAGGTAAGTAACTCTTTATATATTACCTGCAGCAAATTAAACCGGGTTCATCGGATATCTGTCTGGACAAAGACGTTGGCTGCTTGACTGCCTCCCTTCTGCTTGCTGACGTGTTAATCCTAATTCTTACCCTGTCAGAAACCATAACTGTGATAATTGTTTTTGCCATTGAATCGGTTTTGCGGATTTATCCATGTTACGCAACTGAATTAAAGAGCAGAGACAGAACAGCTGTCGCGCTTGCTGCTCAGTAAGCGGCTATGGTGATGGATATGCGAAGCTCCATCGCAAGCGCTGAAGCCGACAGCGGCTAACGGTCCGATGTCAAATCAATTTTGACGTCCATTGTAATTGTATGTAATGGTATTATAATTGTATAAAATTGCATAATAATTGTAAGAAGATTAAACGACAGCTCATACCTCATCTTCCTGTGATGAAATTATTATGCAACTATTCTTTGACGACGGCGTATCGTCCTTATTGCTACAAACCTCGGCCTCCGGCCTCGGTTTGCATTAACATCGAATTGGTAGAAAATGTTAACTGGGAAAGGGGATTGAGAAATGAGATGAATTCGTACCTGTAGTCCACTGCAATTACAAGAAATTCTCACGTACAGACTGTACGTGATACGGCACAGCAATTGCATTTTTTCTTAACACTATGAAGCAGGTCTAGAAGTTGGAAACGGTTCATGATCTATCAGAAAAACGCGCGGTCACCTCGATTAATTAGAAAGAAAGTTTCCTTCGATTTGCTCGTGGATCGAGTCAGAACTGACGTCAGCCTACTATAATGGCATCCGTTCCACTGCGTTTTAAAATATTATAATTGATGCACGTATCTCAGTACAAGATGAGCGTGAATATCATGCACCAGATAATTAGCTTTTAATTAGTGGTTTCTGGAAATTTGAATATTGCATAATCCATTTCGTTTACAGCCGCATAATTGCATGGTTTCATTTAACTAATCTATGCACAACTGCACATAATTGGTGTCTTTCCTAAACGCGCTTTATAACGTAATGACAATCTCAGCCGGAATAAGGAATGGTAGACCGCGGTGGCCGCCATTCAGATACACCGCAGTCCAGTCGTTGGGTGTCCACTTCTTTGATTTCGAAAGATGATTTTGTGGAGCAGTTTAGACTTTAGATGTTGCGCAAATATGCAAAGTGTTACGCTTTTAGCAGACACAAACTTTAACATTCCCCTCTTCAAATACACTTAGCGAGTAATATACCAAGCTTGTAAAATTTACCGAGCATGGGTAACGTTCACAGGTGAACCCGTTCCAGAATCCGCGCTGGTTTTCCCGCTAGCCAATTCCGCAAAGACCAACAATGCACTTGCCGCAGTTGCCTGAAATGAATAGGATTTTTTTAGAGCTTCCTTTTTTCGTAATATCTCAGAAACTAGGATGGCTGGTGTCCTGGATTCATGTTTATAGAAGAATGTGAGCATACCCCACCTGGAAAGCGCTTTCGCGAGTAACGCTTACACCGGCTACAGTGAAACAATTCGTTTCCTCTCGTCTACGACGAACGTACATCGTGGTCCATTCCTCTCGTTTCCATTTGGTTTCTCCCAGCTGGAAGCATTTATCTGCGACCTCGGACAGCTTTTTTCCCTGGTATTAAATTTTATAACAATTATTTACAGAACAGCATCCGTAATGCAGTCAAAATTACAAAACTTAACCGAACCTGTTCAGAGGAGTACACGCACACACAAGTCAAGACGCCCAAATGCGCCATGTAAGTGAGTAAAGTGATGATCAGTCCCGGCTCAGGCAGATGACCCGGCGGACGCCAGCTAGCTTCGAACGTCTTGTTGATTGCGCCCACTAAAGCCACATAGTAGCAGATACCAGTTATCCACCTCAGACAGTTGTCCAGTTCGCCCACAATGCTGGTCAGCTGTGACTGGTTTACAAAATCATCCAGCGTCACAGACTCCGACTGGAAGAGCTGTTCACGCAGATGCAGCGCTGTCCTGTGAACGATTCTCCCGCTAATGAAAATGATGAAAATAATAAAGCCCAGGGAAAGATCGCGACCAAAAGAAGGTACAGTCCAGAACGGCCCAGTTGATCCGAATAAACCATTCCACAGCAGTGTTGGTGACCTGGGCACGGTGAAGAAAGACGGTGCTCCATGTGTTGATGTGGTCGCTTAGGTTCCAGGTAAATTGTTCAGTGTATAACCAATAAGCATTTCTGAACACCGCAACCGCCACGTAGATGACTATACCGATACTGATGCAAATATCGTAGTGCGTGAGCTCCGAGCCGTACATCCGGTCTAACTTGCCAAGCAATTCCCGAAGGCGTTCACTGCAGCACCACATGAGAACTATGCATAGCAGATTGGCCATCCGATCTGACAAGTTAATGAGCTGGATTAAGATGGCCGTGAACCAACTGGATGTCAGCATTACGGCGTCGAAATACATCCAGCCCTCGTATGTTACACAGGCCTCCACCCAGAGAATAAAGGCTATGTAAACGTACACGATACAGCGCAGGAAGCTGGAACATCGCGGATGGTTGGCAATCTCAGGGCGAAAATACCCACAGAACTGCAACAAGGTCATCCAGATAGCAGTGACCTTCCAAATAAAACCACGCTTAATTTGCGGAACGGCGATGTTTTGCACACAGGACGTAAAAATGGACCCTCTATCCAGGCGATCGCTCCGCTTCGGCATTCGCGCAGATTTATCAATTTCTGTTCCAATATTAAATCCACACGGTCAGAAAAAGCAATATGACGAGACAGTTGCTCTAGGCTCCGTTGTCAGGTTTTCCGCTGCTGCACATGTGTTTAATAAACACACAGAATTTATCTGAAGGCTCTTTTCCTTTGAACGTACGGTCTGATATTTGCAGTATTACATAATAACAGTATGTAAGCGAGATTGAACCAGCACGATGGCAGGGCTTTGACGCACACCCTGTGTGTACTTTGTCCGCTTTTGTACTCGGTGGATTGCTGATTCATGGGAAACACCCGTTATCTGTAAATTCTAGAGATTAACCGCGTTCTTCGGGAGGTGAAATAAACGTAAACGCTTTGACAAATATTATATGTTGACAAGAAATACGGTATCAGTAAACTGTACACCACGTACAGTAAATGCAACCGGAAAATATTCGTTAAACGTTAGTTATGATATGATATTCGTAAACATCATTAACTTATTTGTGAATTGAATTTTGTTTATTTTGTTTTTAACGCACATTAAAATCGGACTGGGGAAATACTCAGGGTTCAGGCCTAACTGACCAGGGACCGGTCAGAGGCTTTCCCCTAACTGGTCAGAAAAATTAAATATTTTGTTCACAATCTAAGACTAAACGGTTCATTATGCGAGTATGTAACCGTTCACTTAGTCCTGGATTGTAGGTAGTGAGAATACTAAAAAGGTAGTTTCATTGGCAGTGTTGCATTGGGCGTAGCCTTTATCAAAATTTAGAGGATACGGATATCGTATGCATTGCCAGTATTGGCAGTGTATTAATTACCCCTACAACCATCTGCAGACTGCCGTTATGGCGCATAATGCGGTCCGTTTTGCATCGCCATTCTGATCAGAATACAATAACTCGTAAAAAAACCGTTCACTTGCAGTCTACATTGGCAGGAGCGTCCGCGAGCCGAGCGCTGGCCGTAACAGCCAGACAAACTGGCGTAAACTGTCAGATCTGCATTATGCTTTCAAAATGCATTTTACGATGTGCCGCTTCACTGCCATCACGCTAGCACAACATCGGTAAACAATTGGTGCACAAACTTCATAAAGTTAGCCGTGTGACTTGTACGCTTCCCCTTCAAAACGGCATACCTGCCTCTAGCATTCATTTATGTGTATGTGCGCACTGCGCAGTGCGAGTATTTGATTCTGTGCTACGTAGTAAGTTTTTCCCATTATGGCAACGGTGAATGCGGTGCAGCGGCACTGAATCCATATTAATGCTACAATGGATCATTTTTAACGACTGCTTGGCCGATGTTGCCAGTTCTCGTGGTGATGTTGCTATTCTCCGGTACTGTCATGTGCCTCAATGTGGCTTAAGCAGTTGTGTTTGGAGATACCGTATCACCCGCATTCCCAGCGATAAGCAGCTTGGTCAGCGACAATTCCATTTCTGATGGCAGCTACAATATTGCGATGAGGATGTTAAACAGCGGCCTATTATCAAATTCCATCGGATGGTCCGACGGAATGTGGTAATACGCGGCTCTTTTGCATTACAGTGCAACCTATATATCGTTTTTGGATCTGGAGAGCTTCCGCCAGAATATTCCCTGCTATACACAAATAACAGGGAATGTTCGGGAGGAAGTTTTTCGGTATTCTGTTTGGAATACTTTATACATACGATACGATACAATACGATACCAATACGATACCAGCACCTATCGTAAGCTGAAAATCGTGCCGTATTTGTAGCTTCTTCCTGGTCCGGGGTTATTGCGGTACAAACAGCCAGACCAAAACAGGACTGCTCTGGCGATTGCGAATCCGTTTGGTGGCGGCTTGACGCCAATCGAGACGCGGTGTCAAACGCATTCACAACCGCCAGAACGGATGGCTATCGGTTATGCCGTTATGGTGCTGAAGGACGGACACTAACCGACAGCGATCCGTTCTGTCAGTTGTAACCACCGCAGCATCGGCCGGTTATACAAAAGCCTATTTCAAACTGTATCCGCTTACAAGAACAGCAAACAATGTCAGCAGAGATGAGATTTCGTATCCTTCTTGAAACAACACATTCTGCATGCCCGGCAAGTTTACCCTGGAGCGGAGCACTCTTGACAGTTGAAAGCGCCCTTACAATCATCGATCTACGCTAAGTACACCGGAAACACTTTGATCGAGGACACGTAGTCAGTAGCTTGCAAATTTAAAGCTCGGTTGTAGACCACACAAGCTGCAGAGTTGTGAGAAAACGTACAGGTGACTGCAAAGAAAATGCCAACCATCCACCGATATTGTAACGCTGCCGATGCTTTTAACGATAGAAGTATGCTGAGACTGTTGTCTTCCTTTTTATCGCATATACTTTGTTGTAACTGCTTATATGACATTTCCGAATGTGCTGTTTTGTGGCTGCACATACTATTCAGCACTATAGAACTGCTCCCACGATTCACTCTACCCTGTAGCTTGGTTATTGCACCGATCACTCTGACGTCGGCTTGGGGAAATCATTGGTGACAGAAACCGGTCATCAAGTTCTGCGGTCAACAAATTCCGCTCTGTGCGTGCAGTATAACTCTTTCTCGGCTTTCTAACCGCAACGCGGCTTGTAATGGACTGTTAGTAGCATACACGAAAGAACGCGGTTAGGTAGTTCAATGTCCGCCAAAACCAACAAGATGGACCACCATGATTGGACCAGATGGACTACTGACCACCACGATTTCACCACAAAGCCGCCGACTGTGAGCGAGAAAATAAAGACGGGTCCACTGTGGATGGCCACCGTTGTCTGGATCACGCTTCTCAGTCTCGGCGGCTACATCTTCTCGCCGCTGCAACAGCATTCGCGATTAACTGCGATTTTATTTATTTTTATGTATATTTATACTGCATTTATTTTCGGGACGAATCTGCTCTATCTATACGAATCTATTAAATTCTACTCAAAGACACAGTTTTCGAATTGGTTTACTTCCGTTGTGAATCGATTAATTACCGCATCGAACATTATCTGTGATTTGCTGTGCATGATCCTTGTTTGCACATCCAGTCGATCGTTTCTGCAGCTGCTGAAGAATCTCGATCAAATGACGTCCGGATTAATCACTCCGACGAAACTGTACGCTTATGTTCTCATCATGTTTCTACACATTTTGAGTGTATTTGCCAAATCAGGCTATTATATATACACGCTGCAATTTGATTTGTCCATTGCGCAGCAAATAACGGATTTTCGTCAGCGGTACTTTTCCAGTTTCCCGGTGTCATATTTAGAAGTGATGTTCCGGGTTTATTCACTGGGCTCATGTTTGCCGTACATCAGCCGCGAAATCGTACTGGGTTTTGTGCTATCCGTAATGTTCATCAGCAGTGAAACTCTCCGTGAGGCTGCACAGCGCTTAAATGGTTCCCTGCTCACAAGTGGAACGGTGTCGTTAAAAGAATATTCCCAAATGATTCAGCTGCGGAGGATAGTCAAAGATCTAGGTGGATGTTTTTCCCCAATGGTCGGCATAATGTGCTATGCATCTCTAACCGGTGCCATTGCTCTGACGCTGGACTGCAGCCGGTATACCGCCGACCAGCAGCCGCCGGTGGGAAACGTCGTCTCGTTAGTAACACACGTGTCTTCTTTCTGTGCCATCATTGCTGTCTGCGCGTACTCCACTGAACAGGTATCTCGAGGAATGAACTGTTAATAGTACGGTTTCATTAATGAAAACAGTGATGTTAATGGTACTATGTGTTTCTAACTGACCGTTTTAGAGTCAAAAACTCGCCAGCGTAGCTGAAATGTGTTTACGCATGGGAGAAAAGCACTGGAATAGCGATGAGTGGGCAGCCATGTATCTCCGTGGGAAGCAGACCGAACCTTGCGGCTTTACTGCAGGTGGCGTAGTGATTACGCGAGAAGGCGCTGTTCAGGTACTCGTACTCTGACAACAATCAGTGTTGGTTAGCAGGATAACACCCTGCTCTTAAATTCAACGGCAGAGCGCACTTTGTACGGTATTGCAAAAATTGTATTTCTTGGCGGAATCGTTTTACGAGAGCTCTTAGTTTGTGTAGGCAAATACGCATCCCGTGCTGTAAGGTCTTTGTTTGTCTCGTACAACAGGCCGGTGCCGCTTTGATCAGCACGTTGCTAGTGTTTGCGGAACTGGCTGGTGGCGGTAAAATTGGGGCAATGGCGAAGGAGTACGCAAACATCACACAGGTACGAAGTTCTTGCTAGAGGAATACTCGTATGGTGCGAATGTGTCTATTAGGTTTTTCAGGCCATCTAAAGCTGTCCAAAGGCCGCGTGAAGCATCTGAAACAAGCAACGTGTTACCCAGCGCTTCCGGGACAGAAGGAGCAAAACACAGTTTATGTGACCGGAACTCAGTGGACTCGTGTTGCTCATGGAACAGTCAGAGGATGAAAATTTTGCCGTACTTAGCGGGATTTGTATTGCTGTTTGGATTGCTCTGTAATCTAAATGCGGCCGATGTTCTCGGTACATTGAATATGTGGCCAATTAAGCGGGACAGCACTAATGATTTTGGTCGTTACCTTAACCTTTAAATTTAATTGTTTTTAAGGAGTGTAACTGATGTTATTGTTCTACGTTGCTTTGATGGCTGTTGCCGAATGAAGGTAATAAAAGGTCTAAAATTACTACTTTTTCACAATTTAAAGCGCTTAAATTAATTTATTAATTAGTACTTAATCAATTATATAGTTTAAATTAGTATATTTAAATAAACTTTATTGCAGCCGGACATTTCTGCTTGGTCGCATAGTGCACGGCGCCGCATGCCTTCGGAATGAATCTGCGGAGGGGCTGAAATGCTAACTTTCGGCGGTGAAATAATTGAAGCGTGTACGAAAATATATGTATATGGTATCTTTGACCATGTAGCCTGCTCTTGTTGTTGTACTCGTAAAAAATTAAATTTTTGCTCTTGTAAGAAAACCAGAATAATTTTTTGTATCAGACTGTCAGGCCACTCCCAAGAATCAAGAACACGCCACGCCACGAACCACAATAATCTACTACGAGTACCTATACGTAATGACAAGCACAGTTACAGTTTAGTGACTCTTCCCATGTGCGTAATGTATCCGGTCGGTTGAATTTGGATAATGAAGAGGAATGGGTGATCAAAAGTTTGAAGTTCAATCTTCATGACGGTTTTCCGGATAACCAGGGCACTCGTGGACAGTGCTTTCAATCCATATTCATTCGCTTCTGCCAAATGTCGAAGTATATTAGGGTAAACTGATGTAAAAATGAGTGCAAATTTACAGCGACTATTAAGAATAATAAAATACACGTATTAGTGATAACACATTTATAATGACGGCATACAAAATATTTAACCGCAAAATTCATTATTATTACCGATCATGGCGTGATGGTTCCATGCGTCAACCCCGATGGTCGCATTGGTCATGCGGGATAGATCCGCGGTTTTACTGAACAGCTGCTTCACTCCCATGTTCTCCAAAACACTCCTGAAATCGGTCGCCGAATTCAGGGTGAATTTGGGAATCTTTATGTCGATCGTCTCCCGGTTCATGCTCGCACCCACGGCTTTGTCAATGAGCTCGGGCGTCAACGCGTGCTCCAGTGCGGCAAAATCCTTGGCGTCTTTCGGCATGAGAAGCGACAACGAATACGTTCCCCATTTGCTGGACAACCGCACCGCCTGGAACGCCGGGATATTTTTTTCGGCATCGAATTTCTTATAGCCGACTTTCGCGCCCAGGCTCATAAACGGTACTTGCGATTTCGTCCCATCCGCATTGGTGAATCCACTCTTCTCCGTTTTCGCCGGGTCGAATACGTTGGCCCATTGAAACCGCAAGAAATCCCCATTCAACACGACCAACCGGTTGGACGCTGTGAGACTGCCCTGCACCAGGAATTCCTTGATATTTCCCTCCGTGATTTGGCTCACCCAGGTGTTGATGGCCTGCCGAGCGGCTTCCGGGTCCGCGGCAAAGTCCGTGGCTAACGGAGTCATGTTGAAATTTCTTACCAGGTTCTGCACGAACTTCTCGTGCAAGGAAATCTTCTTATCGACATACGCGCGATTCGCCGTGAAGTAGACGTCATTAAACTCCTGGTCCGACGCGTCGAATTCCAGTTCCCGGTGTGGCGCCGTGGTGTACATCTTGAAGAGGACCCCGAACAGATCCAGGCAGGAGGTGCTGTCGTCCAGTTTGAAGAGGGTTTTGATCTCCTTCTCCGTGGCACCGGCGGCCGCATTGCAGGACAGTAGTAGCGCCCCGATCAGCTGCAGTGCGTTGACGACGATGTTCCCGTTGTTTTTCGTGGCATCCCGAGTATGCTTGTATACGTCCACTTCGAACGCCGTCACCACGGGTTTATACTTAATTTCCTCCGCACCAGACTGCGCCTCGCCTGAGATCGGGTGGACGAGCGACGCGACCAAAAAGGTCAACGCGGTCATGCTCGGTGCGAGGAATAGCTTCATGTTTAAGCGATGGTTCGACAGAAAAAAACGTTGTTCATCTGCTTGGTGGGCTCGCGTTTTATACGTTTTTCTGTGAAAACACCGGTGCCAGTGAATGGTGGTGCTTCTCCGAACTAAGCAGATGTTGAGAATCATATTGCGGTGCCTAGATTGATGAATTGTTGTTCTTATGTTGACATGTCGGATAACCGCAAAAGCCACACAGCCCAATGTTACTTGGTTGAATATCGACCAGTGACAGGCATAATAAATCTTGTGGATGACTCATAATAAATTTTTATAATTACTTGTGTTGGAGCTGGTTTTTCCCCAGTTTTTAGTTGCTAACTGTTTTTATCGGTGCAAAAATTAATTCTTGTTGGTGATTTTATTAACCGAGAAAATTGGCATCGAACTTTGATAGTTGCGCAATAGATCAAGACAGTCTGTTAGAAAAACCGTTAGCGTTCAGAAACCGCTCCTGGGCCCACAAACGTTATGCTGCGCTGCTGCACAGCAAGAAATAGATAAATCAAAATGTCCGGCTGTCTGTTACGGAAGCGTAATAACAATTCCTTTTAACGGCATCACTTCCTTATCCCGTAATTTTTCTTAACACGCTATAAAAGTTATACTAACACGGTATAATAGCTATACCACGTTCATATTACCGAAACTAATAATTATTATTGGCTGAAGTCTGAACACCTTCATGGGCTGTTGTACGTGCAGCGGTGTACGTGAAGCGGTGTACGTGAAGCACAGGAGAACAAACAAAAAACCAAAGAAAATCCTAAAAACACGGAGAGTATTAGAAACCGGACCGATAAGCAAACTGTCGGGAAAAACATATACATAGATAGTTCTGCAAAAAGTTCAGACAGTCGAAAAGCGACTTGCCGGTCAGCAGATTGAGTTAATATTTTGTTATAAGTGAAGTGAAGTTTATTGTCCTTGCAACGGAGCGGTTGTCCCCTCTAGGCTTCAGACAGTAGAGAAAGAAAGTGAGTGTAACAACAATATCGCAAAATAGCAAGTCGGCCAGCAAATTGTCGGGAGGCAAAAGGGATTTCAGAGAATATATGTGATGAGAGGAAATGGCTGAAATTTAACTGTCATAAGCAGAATTATATTTTTTCAATAAAAATTTCGTGTGCCAAAGTGTAAAATGTACGGGTGTACATCGGCCTACGGAAGTGTCAATTCCAACAGGATAAACAGCTGCTGGAGCTTGGTGGAATTAGGTATACATAAGTATGTCGATACTTCCGAACTAATCTGTACAGCTTGGCTACAGCTCTTTAATATGTAATAACATTCACAAAATCACACACGTTGCGGAACTGTGCCCGCTAGAAATGGGCATCGGATGTATTCTGAAATCCAAACTGGAATTCACAATGTTGGATGCATTCTATTGACCATTGTGCAGATCTCTACAGATGATCTTAGCAGTTTCAGTGCCGTTAAATTTCATACACCAGGAGCAAATTAGTACTGGAGCAAATTTGATACACCAGGTTAAATGCATAAATAAAGCCATGGAATGAATTAAAGTTTACGTAAAATACGAGTGGTGTGAGAGAACATGTAACCCTCGTCAAAAAGTTTGTTATAAACTGTATCAACATACCTCAAATGTTAAGCCGTTTATCATAAAATGTGCCGACGGCATGATTTTGGCAACAGATCTTATGTAATAATTTATATCAATATGAAAACGTATCGAAGTTACAAAACTTATTCGAAACTCGTATCCGCGTCTTCGCAACTGTTTAACCAAAACGTTAAACAGAAGCAAACGTAATACAAGAAGAACAAAAGCTTTGTCGGTCGACCGACACGTAAACAATATCTCGCTCAGCAAGAAACAATTCCAGAAAAGTAAAAAAATAAACCAGCCAAATTCCAAGATCCACCACTATGAATCAATTCGTAGTGCCCCCTGTTAATTGCCAACAGTCCCGACGCCGTCGCGGTTCTGATTTATTGCAAATAACAATGTAAGATATTGCATCTAAAGCGAAAGCTTTGTCGGTCGACCGACATTGATTGCCTCGCCACGTAATCTAAAAAGCGATTTTGATCCACGTGTCGCCGTTATAGAGTATCAAAGCTTTTCTGCAGAACCTTGTTATCAAAAGCATAGTTTCTGTGCAGGCACATGATCGATCGACCGACAATAATTATCCTCAAAAGCAAAGTCGCGAAAACAAAAAGGAAAAAATCGCAAAAAAGAAGCAAAAGTCTTCGAAACAAAAAACAAACTGCTCCAATTTACTTAGTTGGAGGCAAAACATCAACGACAAAATTTTGAGTAATACCTGACACTGCCCGCGCGGTGGCTCCATTACTTTTGCTGCCGACTACGCTTACTATAGGCTACTTTCATGCTGCTTCTGATTAGCTGTATAGCAGTTCAGTGCTCACCGCAAGTTCACGTTCAGCGCCGTTGCGCCCAAGCTGATTTTGACAGCCAGTTTTGGTAACGGCAATTCTCGACTTTTTTATAACTGTGCTTTTGAAATGGTTTCTGCTATTTTGTTTAAATTTTTGACGTTTTTTTGTTTTATGGCTGTCGACAGCCAAATTTTATTTCAAAACATTTAAAAAAACACTGCTAGTAGTGATATTTATGCGTGGTACTGTCACGCACGGCATGCTTTTGGGAAAAAGTGCAACATTCGACGCAGTCTGCAGTGATGCGAGGACCCACAGCAATTTTGGACCAGTTCGAGGGTAAGAGCTTATCGAACAGTTTCCAGTTTAAACGTCATAAAGATAGCACTTGTTGAATTATTGTGTGCGTTTTTATTTCCAGATCCTTAGGAGGCGCTGTTTGGATGGACAAATGTGCATGAAGACATGCAGTAAAGCAACAGGTAATCCGATTGTGTAGGAGAGCGCTATTTATAGCTACAAAACGATAAAACGAATTTCTACTTAAGGGGAATTTTAGTCCTTTTTGTTACCTTAAACTTAAGAAGCGAGCAGAAACTAGATTGTTCACTAAAGAAATTTTCTTCAAGTATTTTAAAGTGCATCACGGACAAGTTCAACGCATTAAAATTTTAGTTGATTTAAGTTTATTTTATCGCTTATTAGCATGTCGACATGCCTTATTCAAAAGTTGCAGTTATTGCGTAATTGGTGGTGCGTATATGAAGTGTCCATAACTTGTTTTTCCCATTTTTCTGATTTTTTTTAAATAGTAATTTTCTAAAAAATAATAAATATTGAATTTAATGCGTTTCGCTGCACTGTGCTGACCATTGCAGTTGGCTCATAAAAGCAATATAGAATGTTTATGTCAGAGTGTCGATTTTTCCATTTGCTTTATTTTATTGGCCAAATGCTCCGTTGACAAAAGCAATAATTTCTAATTTAAGATTTTTTGTTTGAAAACTGCATGTCGACCTGCACAGCAATTTTATTGCTGGTGTATTAAAAGTCCTAAGACACAGCGCTTTTCTATAACGGATGACCGTTCTTGAATGCAGTAAATCTGAAATGCAGCATCTGTTGCGTTCAAGTAAAACTTGAATGCAATTGTTGTGCATCTGAAAATATCATACTGTAAGTAAGTTTACCATGCTGATGGTTCAAAATTTAAATGTTTTGCAGGGGAGATGAAGTATTGCTCTTCAGGCCCTTTGCCAGACGCGAAATTAACCGGGAAGTGCGTGGATGTCGACATCCATGATTGTCCTTGCCATCGTGGCGATAATTAATTTCTTATGCATTTAGAAGTCGCTAATGCTATCCATGCTGGCTCTTTTGCAGTTTCTATTGCTCTTGTCAGTTTTCCGTTTATGCTTCTGGCGCATTATCCAAATCGATTTTTTTACTTAATTATGTTGGTGTTTTCATGAGAAAGTATGTCTCGGATGTTGGTTTTTTTGTGCAAAACTAGTTATGTGGTATATTGCAAAATAAATACAAAATGATCTCTGATATCCATATCTAAATGTTTCATATTCGTAAGTATTATAAAACAAAGAGATGGTCTGTTATATCTAAGCCTAATTCAAAAGTTGTCATTAAACTATATGATATTTCTGACGAGGGTAAGCAGCCATCCGAATTCTGGGATCCATTGAGCGGTCTGCTTGATCTTTTAGGAAAAAAAACAGAATTATGTTGAATCTCAACAGAACTTTATAAAGGCTACTTTTTTGGCTATTTGATTGTTAATTGTGTAGCCAAGCCGGGTACAATTTGCCACTATCACATAATATACTTATTCACGAAGAACATCCAATGTACTACGGCTAGTTAAGTCATCACACTCCGTTAAATACCAATAACTCGTACTCTACAGATGCAGCACGGTCCCTATCTGTAATCGTGGTCATGCGTAAAGGTTCCAGTACAGCAAAGTTATTAGGTATGTTCCTAAACTCCAGTACCTTTAATAAGTATATCACGGAACAAGTACACACTCACTAGTAGAAAATATTTATAACAGAAATACTTCCTCAATGTTATCCTGATCGAGAATCGTACTCATCGGTTACGTTCCTGAATTCAGTTACAATTTAGTGACTCTTCCAATATGTGTGATGTATCCAGTCTGTTCAATTTGGACAATAAAAAGGAACGGGTGATCAAATGACTGAGGTAACGCACCCCTTGCGAGTACGAGTTTCCCGATGGCACTGGCACTCGTGGACAGTGCTTTCAACCCAAATTCATTGGCCTCTGTCGAATAAAAAAAATTGTTAGGATGAAATAAATAAAGTATCACTAATAAAGAAGCCCAAAAATTCATTACCGATCATGGCGTGATGGGTCCATGCGTCCACACTGACCGTCGCTGTCGTCATGCGGGATAGATCGGCCGTTTTACTGAACAGCTGTTTTACACCCATACTCTCCAAAACATTCTTGTAATCGGTTGTGACATCCAGGTCGAATTTTGGTATTTTTATGCTAACCGTCTGACGAGGCATATTCGCACCCACGACACTGTCGATAAACTCCGGCGTCAGGGCGTTCTCCAGTGCCGCGAAATCCTTGGGGTTGTCGGGCATGAGAAGGGACAGGGAATACGTGGAGTACTTGCTGTGCAGCTTCACTGCCGTGAACGCCGGGATATTCCTGGCGGCATCGAAGCTCTTGAAGCCGACATTAGCGTTCAGGCTCATATACGGCGTCTGCGATTTCGACCCATCCGCGCTAACGAACGTAGACTTCTCCGTTTTGGTAGGATCGAACGTGGACGCCCACTGCAAGCGGAGGAAGTCCCCGTTGAGAATGATCAACCGCTCGGACCCTGTCACGCTTCCCGCCGGCAAAAACTCTTTGATATTGCCCTCCGTGATTTTGTTCACCCAGGTGTTGATGGCCTGGCGAGCGGCTTCCGGGTTCCCGGCGAAGTCGGCGACCACCGGTGTCATGTTGAACTTACTGCCAATGCCCTGCATGAACTTGTCGTTTAACAGGACCGTCTTGTCAACGTACGCGCGGTTCGCCGTGAAGTATTTCTCATTCAGTAGGTTCACCATAGGCCCGGATTCGAATTCCCGATGCGGCGCGGCGGTATACATCTTGAAAATAACCCCGAACAGATCGAGGCATGAGGCGTTGTCGGTCAGCTTGAAGAGGGCTTTGATCTCCTTCTCGGTGGCACCATTGGCGGCATTGCAGGCCATCATTAGCGCGGCGTTGAGCTGCAGGGCGTTGACGACGATGTTGCCGTTGTCTTTCGTGGCATCACGCGTATGCTTGTACACGTCCACGTCGAATGCCGTCACGACGGGATTGTACTTGATTTCGTCCGGGCCAAGTTTCGCATCGCCGGAGACTGGGTGAAAGAGCGGTGCGAAAAAGAAAGTCACCGCTGCGATGCTTAATGTAAGGAAGTGCGTCATACTGAAAAATTTCGATCGTATACGGTACAACAGATGTGAACGGAAACAAAAAATGTGTATTATGGGTTTCTACTACAAGCTTTTACGCTTTTATACCTTTCTTGTCAATGCCAGTAGGCCCGGCACTAATTAATCATGAGGATATTTCTGTAGACTAGTAATAAATTAGAAGAAACAGTTACTCGTGCCTGGAGAAGATGAAATTAATTTTGTTCCGGCATTAACCTTCCCTATATGTCGCGCTCGCTGACTGGTGGTGTTGACTGGTATCGACAGACCAGTGAATCCACTGCAGTAATAAAAACTTTAGTGATAGCTTAAAATTTATTTGGACGTTTCCGGGTCTTTGTCAGCTTTAGGCGGTGTACGCTTGTTGTCGTTAAAATGCGCACAAGCCGGTTGCTGAATAAAAGACGTACCTCGTACCTAGTGACTTCAGACTGGACTTCCGCAGTTGTGCACTAAATGACCGCTCATCAAAATCTCGCAAAACTTTGTAAACGCATCCAAGGCCTACAAACGTGTAATGCTGGAGATATCCTTTAGGCAAACTTTGTGCTGGTTTTGGTGCCTCATGTGAACAGGCTGCAATTTATTAACGATAATCATGCACATTAAACAGCCGTCGTTCTGGGTAACTGTGTAACCAGGAAACAGCAATGTTTTATGACGCGAGCGGTGTTCGATCCACCAGACTCGGGTACGCCTAAGCAAATGTTAAAGCTGGCATCTGCAAAGTTGCTTAGGAAGACCAATAATATTAAGTATTCTTTCTTATTTCTTCCGGGTGGGTGCCAAGTTCAACCAACCCAGCACTAGTGTAGACAGCGCTGCTTTCACATACGCGTTGCTCCAGATACATATTCTATTTAAGCACAGCTACGTCACGTTATGCCTCTTTCGGCGAGTTGGTGGGACAATTTTAAAAGAGCGAGAAAACGTTTGCGGTGGAAATCTTGATTATTTTTAGAGCAAGCAATTTTGCATAAACTTCGGAATACATACTTTGGAAATACTTTTCAAAGCAGATATCACAAAAGTTGGTTATGAAAATGCCGGAATTCGTGTTTCTAACGTTTTTCCTACACCCTTTTTTAAAAATTCCCTTCCGTTTTCATGATCATAGAAATCTTTTTCTACTTAGATTCTTTTCAGATTCTCACCGTTTCTTTTTAACTGTGACTGCCTTTTTATCCTGACCATGGGTGCACCACACGGGTGGGTATCTGGTGCATGTGTGCCCTGAAGAGATGTAACCTGGATGAACCCGGATCTTTTAGTACAGTAATCATGCACGCGAAGCTGTAATAACTCATAGGCTGGCAAAGGTTGCCTTCAGCGCTATAAAATCTCCTTTCTGCATAGTGCATTCTCATGCCGCAGTTACCGGCGAATACAGTATCTTCGCATTATATTTTAATGTACAAGATTTCTGAAGAAAGATAGCATATTCACAGTCTAACTCTCTGATGTCCTGTCCAACACGAAGATTAAAAAAAGAATTTCGTCGAAATCCATTTCCCACATTATACCAGTGTGAGGAGAGAAGCGGCTCACGTTCAGCGACAAAATCTTTCAAATGATTTCAACGTATTGCGCCGTGGTGCAGTGGTACTGCCTACGCGGATCTAACGACGTAGCCGGGGTTCGATTCCCCCATCGGCGCCTTTTTCAGCCGTTTCTCAGTTTCCAGTGGATAGCGCCCTGCTTATTCCAGTAAAAAATCGTTGTTGTTTGCCGTGGCTTAATGTTGTTTGCCGTGGCTTAATTTTAATAAAGAAAATGCCACAAAACGCCAAACATCACAACCAGCTTCCTTTAAGCAGTAATAGCTTACCCACATAGTAACTGTATTGGGTACACTGTCACCGTACACATACAGTACAACGGTGCGCTAAGCGGTGGTTAAAGTAGAAATCTCACAAACACACTTAGGAGTCAGACTTAATTGCGTCAAAAATTCATTTGGATAATATGTGGGATATCGCCATTTAAGACGTAATCGATGCAATGCGTTTATGTAACCGTAATGTAAATTATAAAAATGACTTAGTTTAATAGGAATGTTGAAGCCGTTTTCGGCTTCGGATAGTCCTCACAGCGACAAATTAAAGCGGTTCAGCGATTTCTAGCTGCTAACTTGGTAGCAGTGTTTGAAGCACTAAAAGGAAAAAGCCGAATGAATGCAGTTTGCAGTTCTATGTCTTGCGAAGGCTGAAAAACCACGTCATCGGATCCAAGAGCATCTGCAGGGAGTACAGAATCGATACGACATCATAGTCCAGTTTGACGATGCCGAAATGGTAGGTGAACGCCGGCAGCCAGCACACCAGCACGCTGACCGCCGTCAGCGTCAAAACGACAAACGGCTTAACGATCCGATGCGGCGGCTTCTGCGACAGCGCGCGCGCCACTGCATTCCCGTGACCTTTAACATCTTCCATGGGAATGGGCGATGCGATGCGACTGCCTCTTGCGTTGCGGCGCTGACTCCGATGAATAAGAATAAAAACATACGCCGTTAAGATGAAGACCAGCGGGAATATGCGATTCAAATACATCTCCACATGGTTCCACAGCAGCATCTTCCCTGAAACATGCTGACACGCTCGGAAATTCCTTGGCACGTGATAATGCATGTCGACCAAAAACGGGGGCAGATCTAGCGCGTGCACGTACCCCACCATCCCCACGCACAACAGCGCCACCATGACCTTTGTATGCTTTTCCCGATACGAAAAAGGGAATATGACCGCCCACAATCGGTTGACCGAGATCAGCAGGTGACCGTAAATCGGCACAACGGTCAAGACCCGGTTGCAGTAGTTGTAGAAAACGCAGGCTGGATGATTCCACAACCATATGCCGTAGAATTCTGCCAGTAAGGCCAACGGGCGCACGGTGATCAGGTATACAGTGTTGGCGATGAACAGCGCCAGTAAGTAGACGGTGAAGGGTGTGATCTGGACCGGGTACAAAACATGATACGTTAATGCGGCAATATTCAACAGCAGGGAGACGATGGAGCAGCCGGTTTTCCCGCCCAGCAGCAGCGTCCATCCGTGCTGGACATGTGTGGCGTTGTTGATGCTGAAGAGGACGCTGCTACGGTTGACCGCTACAATATAGTGCAGCTCCCAGTACGTGATGCTGACGCTGGTGTTGATAGCAGCTTCGGTAATCATGGCGGATTCTAAACCTGGCTACGTTTGGAGCGCAATATAAAAAGAAGAATAAATTGCGGAGAGTGCACCAACTAAAAAAAGCGAGCGTTTATATTATTGTTTGCAAGAATGCAGTAATAGTCTCTCGTTCGCCGTACTTCGATTCTCTTGGCAGTAGGTCACTTGTACTTGACGGTTCAAAGACGGCATTTCATCACCAAAAACACGAGTGAACATATCGTACTAGTATTTGAACCGTTGATGTACCAGTGACGAGAAGTGATAACTAAAGACTGTATAGGAAAGCGTCTACCCAGCTTTTTCAGGAATGCCGGTTGATTTGTCGTCTTGCATGTCAAAATTGTGTCATTAACACCGTATGGACATTTCAGATTGATCTACACATGGAATACGAATATAATAAATGACTAATACCCGTTTCGGAGAGACAATGCGCACTTTTATTATTTCGCGATACACTGGGGAAGACTCTGTTGTGGGGCGTGTCAATAATGCTCTATATGTTTTCGCCAGCATTCATCATCAGTACGTGGAAGGAGTTGCTAGTAACATCCGCCGGAATAAAAACAACAGGTCACCGCAAATCCTATGTTATAGCGCTCGCACCCACACAATTCCTTGCTGATGGCATTATTGTTCCTATTTTCACCTCTGGACAACCTTATTTACATCCTTAGGGGCTTTGAGTGACGTTCCAATTCTTTCTTTTATAGTCGGCATCTGAAAATAACCTCTGACCTAATCGTTGCAGTGTTATTTATCCTGACTCGAGGAAATTAAAATTTTTATCCGCGACAAAGTTTGTTTTGCGATCGGCCTTCCCTTAAAACTTTCAACCGCGCGAACCGAGAAATAAAACTGATTCATGACGCCACTGACTGCAGCGTGGTGGCAATCCATGGGTCTGCGTTATTTGTTTTTGAGATAGTGTTTTAGAAGACGCCACGGGTGGTACAATAGGGATTTGCATGTTGTCCATGGGAACACTATACACCTCATGTTCTCTTTCCTGTTTTCTACTATTACAGAACTTTTGCCTTTTCACCCGCGGGCGGATAGAGATTTTGGTTGTTTTTTTAATGTTTAAATTTTAACTGTAAAGTAGTGTGCCCGCGCTTGCACTTTTTGTTGTTATGGCGGCTATTGCCCAATAAACTCATCTATTACAGAACCCCATGTTTCTGTATGTTGTTACGGTTGTTTTGGTTTCTTTCTTCGCTTTATTTGCACTGAGCGCGAAGCGCGAGGTGCTGCAATCACTGCAATTAACTGATCGTCAAGAGCATAAATCCGTCTGACGCCACGAAGAGCGTCACGGCTCACTTTTCCAATTCCACAAACCCAGTACCACTACTCAGTGGTACTGGCGCTCGCGCTCATGCGATAATGTGGTTAACAACCACCGCTAGTTTCTATTTTAACCCTATGTACTGAATCTCCGATCCGCAAACGTTATAGCGCCTACTACTGTATTCAGCCAATCAGCCATAATACTCGTAATTCCGGCATTATGCACACACCATATCATAAGTGATAAGACGATCGATGTATTATGACATAAAGACTATATCTTCAAAAAGTATTTCAGCTTATGCGAAGATAAAATTTCAGGGAACGTTTAGTATGCAAAATCGGCACCACGTCATTGGTCATTTTCTTTCAAACCATCCCAAACTAGGAAGTTCCATGGCTCTCTGAAAATTAGTCAAACCGACTTTATTGCATATACAGGAAGAACAATGAATGAACAATTTGCTTTCACATAAATTCGCACAATTCCGTGCTCAGTAGAGATTTTAATAAGCTTGTATTAGGTGAAAGGTCATGGCATTTTGTAAACGCGCTAACATTCGCACCGTCACAATACTTCACGTTATCCTGCTTGCAAGCTTGAGCCATACTCAAAACCATCATCGTGCTAACAGAACTTTTAAAACGGAAAGATGGTACTTTGCACCAAGCAGGATGCTCCGGTAAGACACGCTCCTCGGTACATCGACGCAGCAGCTTACACCGAGGGATCGGAGACATGGCCCATAAACAAAATCGTATCGGTAGCGACATGTCGAATGAGGAAGAGGAAAGGCCGATCGGCAATAAATTCGGCTGCATCATAACCTCCCATATTGCTTAATACTACCACTGTTGAGACCGATGCTTCCATTCCTTCTTCGTTCAAATCTGTAAGAAAGGGAGGGTTAAGACTTTCGAATTGCGTTGATCAAGTCACTGACGACCGAAGAAAATAATATTGCACATTCTCTTGATCGCACTGGAGGCGACTGTTAGTCAAAGATGCGGATGGCAGTAATAAAATCATTAAATAAAATCCGGTATTCTGTTCTGTAAAGGTACTTATAATTTGCGTTACTGATTTTACGAATTCGGCTTACCAATGCAGGCCTTCTGTTTCACCGCATGAATATGCAGTCGATCGTGGAACAGATTGCAGATGCCGGAAAAGTCTGCTTTTCGTTCATCAAACGCTGTCGGCATGCCCAGCGCGATCAGCATGTGTTTCATATCCACACTCTGTTCTACACGGAAGCGTGGCAGTTGCACCGTTACGAGCGCACAGGACAACTGCTCCAGTGCGTGGTTAAGCTTTTCCGCGGTCAGCATATTAATCAGTTCAGCCAAGCCTTGATCGGGAGATGCAGGTTCTTCGTGCTTCTTTTTCCACGGCAGTTGGTAGTGTTTCTCCACTTTCTTCTTCCCCGGCAGAATAAACACCGCGCTGCAGTATTTCGACGTAAAAGGTAATTCCAGGAACATAGCTCCGCCCAGTTCCTTGCTCTCGTGATATTTATAGTTAATGAACTTTTTATGCATCGTTTCCACTGGAACTGAAATTCCTTCGGCGGTTGTGAACGGTTTTAGTGACGTTTTACTCGGACTGAACTGCTGCTCCCAGCAAGCTCTGAAGTACAATGCGTTGACCAAAATCACTTTGGTACGGTACGGTATCACATCCACTGGCAACAAGAGATCGTGCACGTTGTCTTTCGTATGAGCTTCGACAAACGCGTTGACACTGCGAATTGCGTTGTCCCGGTCCTCATTAAAATCGACGGTTTGACATGCGCATTGGAAGAGCTTCTCCAAATCTTCGGTGTAATTTCTTTTTATTTGGAAACCTTCTTGAACGAAAATCCACTCCCGGATCCAAGCCTATCCATCAGTCTTTTATGGATGCCGATGGAATGCTGTTCCATCAGTGTACACTGACGGCCAGTGCATTTTGTCTGGATTGTTATAGTACAGCGCACCTTCTGTCGGGTCTGGCTCGTCATAGATGTTAACCAGCCAACTATCGAATTTCGGCTGTCTGTACCCATTTCCGATAGCATTTTGGTTACTCCGTGCTATAATATCTCGACACACCTCATAAATACTGCAGCCCCAATGATCCGCCCGGTTCTTAATCATCCAGGCTATCGCTTTTTGCACCTCGGTCGAACCAGCCTGACGCTTTATGGTTGCGAAAAGCCACAAAAAATCCTCTGATGTCGGATCCAAGCCTATGATCGAGATAATTGACAACAGAATGTTAATCTTTGAGTACATTTTCACTCAAATTTGTTATGCCACAATTACGGAATTATTATTTTCATTCCGCTAGCCAGTCGACCTCTTTACGGTTCAGCTATTAGATTAGTACTCAAGGCAAGATATTAGATCAACAGATACGTAACTCACGCGTCACGTCGGGTGTTGGCGTTGAACTTGCTAACTTGACACTGCGCGCGAAAGTGCGAAACCAGTATATTGGTCACCAACCGCCATATGTGGCACGGTACATACCGCCCTCGGTGTGCTAGATGATTACCGGTATACAACTGACTCATCGAAGCGTAGTGAAGGTCTTCCACGTTCAGCAGTAAAGGAAAATGTGGAGTTCAGGCATCGGTTACTGCCATTAAACGCTCATATGCACCGTAGCTCTGCTACCAAGTAGAAAGTGCACTGGTACTGCTGCCACTGCATGACCGGGCACTGCATGACTGAACATCGAAAAGAAGACTCAGTCAGCACTTTACGAGTGTACGACAGCTGCAACCTCTCGGGTAGGTTATGAAGCTCACAAAGAGTGTTATTCGATCTGCTTAAAAGACCGATCACTATGATTATACTGTCGAATACACTGGTTACTAATGACAGACGCTCCCCGGTGATTCGTGTTACGCACCACACGGGGGCAGGGGAGCCAACCGATTACTACATAGCCGGCTTACCCGGGGTAACTCCCAGTACGCTCCACTCAAACCACTGCTGAATCTTAGGATCCTGGAACCTCCGACCAGTAACCGTGCTGCCAAAAAAAAACTGGAGCCATTCAGGCTTCAGCTCACGGAATCGTACAGTGGAAAGCCAATCAGGAATCTCAGTGTATCGAACCGGAGACACCCCCAGCTGGCCGGCACGCCGGCCGCCTTCGTGATCAATTCGCAATTCTAGCTTGCAATGCCGTTGTTCACACAAGTTTCGAGTATTTAGCTCCACTCTCTTGTAATATCCATCTTCCACGTTTGTTCCTGGTCGTAACAGGCTGCCGGTTATCTGGAGGCCTTCGATGGGCGGAAACGCTTCCTCGATTGACAGTCGCGTCCAGTTCTCGCCAAGGTCAGGATTATGCATAATTGTATAATTCCGTCTTTTCCAGAAGACGGCGACAGACTGCTGTCGACAACCGGAGAGTGCATACTGATACTGTCGTCGACAGAGTAGTAAACCATAATGGCATCCGGATGCGATGATGCGATGCGTCGGCTTATCGACCGCATTGGGTGTAGCCCAAGATGTTAAGATTTTGGAGTGCACGGATTCGGCAAGGAAAACATGGTCAGCTCGCCCAAAGCACTTTACCGCAATATTTCGCATTTTACCCATTTGATTTGCGTAAACCACCACCATCCAGTTCATCCAAGAATACTTCTCATTCAGCAATTGCTCAAATTCTTTAGCGCAGTCTTCATTGACGGCAGTTTCTTTCTCACAAACAGTAATAAAAAACCCATCCACCACTTTCATCAAAGCTGACTGGTCTCCTTGTAAGAATTTGCAACTAGACGTAATTTTCGCCTCCTCGAGAGCATTCGCAATTCCCGCCGCCCTGCGCGCTGCATTCTCCACATCCTCCTTCATTATCTGGGCGTTGGCCTGGAATCTTGCATCGATTTCCGCTGCGATGTCACAGTAAGTAATCATGCAGATGCACATCTTCATCACGTCCAGCATAATGCACTCGCACCATTTCTCAAACACTGGATAATCACAGCTGTTAATTATTCCGTTCAATAATTGCCGATTGACTCCGGTTTGGGTGATATCCTTAAATAAGATGCTCAGCAGTTGTTCCGGCTTATTCTCGCGGTATATTTGACAGAATTGATCGCGTCGCCCTAGGAATGTCGCCTCGTCGGCTGTCCCCATTTTGCGTAATGCTTCCCACAGCAAATGCAGTCGGTCATCAATCCGTTGGTACATGAGAACTGTCTGCAGTTTAGCGATTTCAGTCCCCAGGGAATTTGTAGCATCATGAATCGCCACCTCTAGACGGTTCTCAATATTCCGTAACTCAACTCTCTGGTCGTACGTTATATAGTACCACGCAGCGATTTCCCTGGCATCTTTGGAATCGGGGTCGTTCTTGTTCAGCTTGTCATTCAACTGCTCCACTGCCACTTTACCCAACTGGTGTGCCACCGACCCGCCGATTTTGGTTATGACGGGAATAAGTAACCCGGACATCTTCGGTCTATAAGATATCTTAATACAAATCCCAAAACAGCAGTATAGTCAGATCTTGTGCAAATTGCTTTTAAAAGTACAATGCCGTACAATGCTGAAAATGTTTTGCCTACGCCACCGAAATTGGAGAATATGTAGCTTATTCAAGTAGTAAGGGGTTGTTCGTGCAATAGTTTGTCGACAACAGGCTGTTTCACGCAGAACATGAATCATGCATACGGCGCGACCGGAAATGATGCCGGTTACGCTTAGTCAATAGGAGTAATGTTATGTAAGCAACATGGGCAAAAAATTTACTAGTGTTAACAATCACGTGGCAAGTTTCAACTACATGCGCTAATCTTTATTTGGTAGAATCCGAATGATACAAATCGCACGCCTCAAAAACCGGCTGGGGATATCTACCAATACATAGTCCTGCAGTAACGTACGTAACTACGTATGTGACAACAAAAAATAATAGCGTGCATGTGCAATGGTGTTTGGAAAGGATTAGGCGGGGCTGCTGCTATTATTCTAAACTGGCTTTTACGAAACACTATTACGACGCAGAAGGCTTCTGCGTCCGAATGCATTGTTTCAGCTGCAGCGTATCGCTATCAACTTGCTAGTTGCGAGCAGTATAAAATGTTCATAAATGTGGACTTTATTTCTCAATATGTACAAAGCGAGCTTCACTCAACAAATCAGATCATAAATTATTACAGTTACTCGATTTCGCACATTCCTGCAACTACATGGATTTGGATTTGCTTTGCGCCTATTCTATCCCTGTAGTGAGGAACTGCTTTATAGCAGCCGGCCGCAACTTCAAGAAATTCATATTCCGGTTCCTTTTAGCATTGTGGCAGTTAATTCGGCTCCCGGACTGTGGTATATGTACGTACAGCAGTGGACTGTACAATGTCGCTGTACTCTATACCTAGCAACCGATGTACAAGTTCTCATTGTCTTACTTAGTAACACATTTTAATCTTCCGATATGTATACAGCGAGCTTCGCTCAATGATACCAATCAAATGACGAATTTGTCCCAATTAACATTAGAAGGGACTATGCACAACACACTCATCCATAGAATACCTGAGTTTGAGACACTCATAGCATTACCACGCATAATCTCTAAGCTTAAACGCTGAAAAAAAACAATTAGAGCGACTCTCGCCCGACTACACACTTTACACACTTTTTTTCCCAGTCTCCTTTAACGAAACAATGCCGGCCTCACCAAGTGCCAAAAGTCTCGCATGCAAACGGGACAAAATAGCAGCGATCAATAAGCGACTTGTACTTTCCCCTCTTCTCTCTGAAAGCCAGTTCGGCGACGGCGCCAGCACACTTCGAGGTCGCGTCGATGTACGAATCCGCCATAGTGTCTCTGCAGGTCACGTCCCATACTAAAGGCTGTCCTCCATCCGGGCGCTTTCCATTTTCGCGCAAAAAGCCAATAGGCTCCGGATACGACTCAATGCCGGCAATGCATAACGCTCGAATTATGATTTCGTTTATGCCGTTATGGCGTTCCCTTCTCCCAATACACTTTTTACAGGCTAGCCCATGGTATCCGTTTTCCGCAACTTCTTTACCACATCTCGTACAGGACTGCCGCTCCACGATCTTTGCGCCAAGCCACAGGCCTACAGAAATACGGAAAGTCTGGTCATCTAGGAAGTTGCCGAATACCTTCGCGGGAAGGGCGTTAAGCCAGGCCCCAGCGTACTTCGTGCTGAATGCTCTCAGACGCGCTTCAGTTCTCTTATCGTTGCCAACATGGTTCCACAAAGTGTCAACATCCTTTTGTATTACAGCGTTATCCCATAAGGACTGGTGAACACGTGCCAGCTTCAAAGACAACTTACTTAATTATTGTTATTAGTTATTAGTCATACTACTACTACTACTACTACTATCACTACTTCACTACTACTACTACACTACTACTACTCACTACTACTACTACTTCACTACTGCTACTACTAACTACTACTACTACTACTACTACTACTACTACTACTGGCTCACTACTACTACTTCACCACTACTACTACTACTACTTCACTACTTACTAATAATACTACTACTACTACTACTACTACTACTACTACTACTACTACTTACTTACTACTTACTACTACTATTTCACTACTACCACTACTACTACACTACTACTACTAACCTACTACTACTACTACTACTACTACTACTACTTACTACTTACTAGTTTCACTACTACTACTACTACTACTACTACTACTTACTACTACTACTACTACTACTACTACTACTACTATCACTTTTCACTACTACTACTACTACTCATCACTTACTACTACTACCACTACTACTACTACTACTACTACTACTACTACTACTACTACTACTACTACTTCACTACTACTACTACCACTACTACTACTACTACTACTACTACTACTACTACTACTACTACTACTACTACTACTACTACTACTACTACTACTACTACTACTACTACTACTACTACTACTACTACTACTACTACTACTACTACTACTACTACTAA